CAAGTCATTCCCTAGTGACCTACTTCCTCCAACTAGGTTGACCTCTTTGCCTCCACCACCACCTCCTGACAGTCTGTCCAGCTACCAATGGATTAATCGGTTGCTGAGGTGAACTATAGGGCAGGTGAACCAGAATCATGACTTTCACCAGAAAAGATCCTCTCTCTTCCCCCTAGTTTTCTAAGCTGTGGAACCTAAACTGGGAAATGCTGGTAATCCTCCTTCACATCACATTAAAGCCAAAGAACAGAAGGTTTCAAAAATCTCTTCCTGGCAACATAGGTTGAACATTAGTATTCAGCCATACCTGGAATTTTCTTCCCTGGACCCCCATTTTTTTTTCATAGACGCTATGATCTGTCATCTTCATCTAGAAGAATCTGCAATAAAGGAAAAACTCCTGGTTAGACAGATGTGAAGTTTATCCCAGCCTGTTACTTAGAAGTCGTGTGACTTTTGGCAAATTATTTTGCCTCTCGGGGCACACCTACTTCGTGTACAAAATGAGAATTTTGTATGGAAGATTCTTCAAATGTCTTTCTAGGGCTGAATAGGAAGAAGGAAAACAGGGGCCAGTCATCCAGCTCAGCTGGAACTAAGGCAAAAGCCGTGCTTCCAAGTGAGATCCTTCTCTATTCCCAGATACTCACCATAGCAGACAGTCAGTCACTGCTGTCCATCCAACACAGGCTGCTGTGAGCACTGCCCACACCCTGCTCTTGTTAGTCCCATTGATCTTCCCAGGAGATCTCATCTCATCATTTCCACGTCAGTTCAACCAACCAAGTACACTATGTAATTTTCATGAACTCTCTCCTCAAATCTACTCAGCATGTCAAATGACCAAATAAATATTCAATGCATAACCCAAGTAAAATGAGGTGCTAGGTCACTGTGATTATTTTATTAGCCTGTCTTTTTGTGTATCCTCCTTGGAAGGGACGGAATTCATTTTCATCAAATGAATGCCAGGGAAACAAATGAGTTTTGAAGTAAAAAGATGAAGGAAATTTTTGAACAGTACTTAATCCTCTTCATTGTTCATCTGTTCATTCTTCCACTCCCCAATGGCTAGGGCATTGTTTTGGGGCTCTTTACTTTAATTCTATTGATTGGTTGATTGATTGATTGCTACTGCTTTCCAGTGAATGAAAATTTAGCTAAAATAAACTAGGCTTATGGAAGATGAGGGCAACAGCATTGTCTTGCATGACTTATCTAACATTTGTTGAGTTGAGAGGTCACATATTTGCATACCACATTTAGATGTGGGAAAGACACTATTTGTCACCTTGCCCTAAAAACCCCATTCCTGATGAGGGTGGGAAAGTATCTAAAGTAGCTCATGGAAGACATTTCATTCTCTGTTGGCTAAAGCAGTCTTTTAAAGACTTGTTTACTATCTTGTGGGTAGATAATCAAGCAATTTTAAAGTTCATGTCCCTCTGAGAGATATTTCTCATCTTACACATCCACAAGATGGCGCCTTCCCCAAGAGACAATTTCCACAAGGAGTCTTCCATTAGATTTCGCCTGGGTGGTGAGAAAAGGGTATCTTACATTTTATGATGAGGAAAAGAGTGATGTCTACCTGCTGATCCTGGTGGTCTTCTATGACCTTTGAACCTCTTGATGCCCACAATAATGTAACTCATGATCTGGTGGCCTGGTGGGGGTCTGGTGTGCCCTCCTCTTGTTATACTCCTTTACCTTGATATTTAAACCAAGTTTCTCCACAATGATCCATGATAGCCCACCGGCCCTCATCTATTTCTTACCCTCTGGAAGCATGTGATAATGCCCCACACGAGCTGACCTTCTCTCAACTATCTGCTTTTGCTTAAGCACAGTGTACCCCATGTCTACTTCTCAGTTATGTTTCAGTTCTCCTACTCTGGTGCAGGGGGGTCACTGAAAGGTGATGTTCTTCCTGAGCTTTAGTCAAAATGGGGCGTGGATCTTCTCTGCTTCTAGATTTCTTTGCTGACCTCTCTTGATCCGACCTTAGGAACCTTAGGACCTTAGGAACTTCCTCCTAGAATCAGACAATCCATTCACATCAGTATTGTTAAAGGACTCATCAAAAATACAAATTCGGGGGCTGAGGTTATGGCTTAGTGGCAGAGCGCTTGCCTGGCATGTGTAAGGCACTGGGTTCCATGCTCAGCACCACATATAAATAAATAAACAAATAAACAAACAAATAAATAAATAAAGATATTGTGTCCATCTACAACTTTTAAAAAAAGATTTAAAAATAAAAATTTTCAGGTCTAAATTCAGGTCTATTAAATCAGATTCTCTAGGGACAAGATCCAGCACTCAGTTTTAACAAGCCCCCCAGGGGATTCTGACCACCACAAAAATCTGAGACCCCACTCTTCAGACTCTCAACCATGCAACTCAGTGCTTGAACCCTGGGCTCAGCAGCACTGCCCTTGCCTGAAAATTATTTAGAAATGCAGAATGTCGGGCTCCACTTGAGATTATTGCTAAGAACTTTGAAATGAGATTCTGCAATGATTCTTATAAACAGTCAGTTGGAGACCCACTACTTGATGATTGGACCTGTACGCAACCTGGATTGTAGGTTAGAGGTGGATAGTGTTGAAGGGAACTTTTCTTCTCTCTCTGTCCAGCAGGCCACCTCCAGTCCAAGGTTGGACATCTGGGAGACAGTGGTTAGACTATAACTTGCTTGTGCACAAACCAAAAAAGTGGCTTTATTTCTATTGTTATTCTTCTTCCTCCTATCTTACCAACCTGCTGGGTAGGAGGGTGTCAAAAATTATTTCACTTGTAAATTAAAGACATTGTCACCTCTTCCTGCCTTAACTATCTCTATAGGGTAACTCAACGACTTTGGGGGAAATTTTGAGCCTTTCAGATAAACTCCAACTATGCCAGCTCCTCCCATGATGGCTCTGGGTAGGAGAGTCTTACATGACCTTGTGATGCCAGGGGCAGGTGGAGTTATGCCGTTCACATGGCATTCTGTGCAAAAGAGGAAAAGGTGTATGTTCCTTAAAACACTCTCTATTCAGTTGTTGGAAAATTGTCATGTTTACTTTCTTAGAATAAACACATCACTGTCATATACTTTAAAACTGCCACAGTAAATGTGAAAATTTACAATGTCTGAACTGAATCATGTTTCCATAGACGTAGCTTTCTTTTTCTTTCTTTTTATGCTGTGCTCATTCTGCACAACTCTTCATCCATCTCCCTATTTTTTACCATAATGATGTGCATCAGATGGAACATGAGGTTTCTCCCAAAGTCTTGCAAAAGCATTAACTATCTCACCCCCTCTAGAAATTTCTACCACTCTGAAGACCATGAGGTGAACATTTCTCTCTGACCTCTTCTTTTCGGCTGTTCCTTGTGTCTTCCCCACGGTGCACGGGATCAGGAGCACAGGCAGATTCCTGCATGATCCAAGTTTGGACATCATAGTTGGTCCTCATTTCCCTTTGATGGACAGAAACCTCCAAGTTTAAGCCCAGTCCTGCTTCTTCATATGAAACCAGAGCCTGGGGGATATTCAAAATTCTTTTCTTTTTCTATAATGACTGGTTTTTGAGGCTTCACTTGCTAGTGACTCACAATGTTGACTTCCTATTTTCTAGCAAAAATTCACCCTCTTCCTGAAGCATGAAAAGACACTTACTCCGGTGGCCAGGCCCCTCAGGGAAGCAGTATTTTCTGGATTTGAAAACAGAGAAAGCTCTAAGAAGAAACCAAAAGACTCTAATGTCTTGACTTTTTCCCCCAATATTTCTCTGATGGAGTCTTGGTAGACATTGTCTTAGTCCAAGGGGTTTAATGAACCATTTTGCTATTGTTTAATGAGAGCTGCTCCTTTCACCGGCTAGAGATGCCCTCCTTGCCCTTTCTGTTAGATCTATCTCTGCCTCCTCAACACCGTAGCTTCATCCCATCTCCAAAGGTCCAAATTAGGACCTTTGGTGTTTAGGAGACAAAAAAAAAAAAATCTGGTTCAGGTTAAAGTAAAACATAAGAAGGTTTATTTGGTTCATGTAACTGCAACATGCAGAGACTCACCATGTCACTAGGGTACAGCCCCAGAGTTCTGCGATTCCTTGCTTCCATGTGTCAGCTATTTTGTGATGACAAAATGGCCCACAAAGCAGTCAGGCACTTCATCTGCATACCACATCATCATGAGCCAAGAAAGAGCCTTTGTACCTGCACCTAAGCAGGTTGTCCCATGCCCACCACTGAACCTACACCGTGGTCAGGGGATTAGACCATTTTGATGGTTTCAGTTAGCTAATGCGGAACATGTTCCATTCCTAAAGCCAAAAAACTCACAAGTCTGGAAGTTAGGCATCTCTCCAAAGAGGCATCTCTGGAGGATGTGATGTCTACCCAGTGTACAGGAATCTGTCAATGACTGGGTCCCTACCCAGTCTCCCCCAATGAATCCTGTGCCCTAATATTCAAAGAGAATAGAACCACAGTGATGATTCAAAGACCACTGAAACCTTAGGCAACCCGATGGTGTGGGTGACTGTCAGAGACTGTCAATCAAAAGTCCCTCCACGATTCCATTTTATTTTCATTTTCATAATTTATTTTGTTGGTGCATTATAATTACACTTAACAGTGGGATTCATTATGTTTTAGTTGTAAACTTCCCCCTGCCCTCCCTTCCTCCCGCAGGATCTCCTTCCTCTACTCTTTGGGTCTCCTTTCTATTTTTATGAGATACCTTCCACCTTTTTAAAAAATTTTAAATTATTTTAAAAAAATATTTTTTAAATTTGAATTCCTATTTCTCCATGATTTTCATAGCATTAAGTAAACTTCCCTGATTCTGGGGTGAACCCAGAAGAGGAAGAGAGTTCTGCCACGACTGTGATGGATTCTCTGTGGCTGGTCGGCATGAGGGCTGGCAGTTAAGATGAAGTTGACAAAGAAAAATGCAGCAGTACTTTTGGTAGCACTGACTGTCAGCAGAGACTGACGCCACTGTGTAGTCTGCAACAAAATTAAGTCGATTTATGAACATGTTACCAAAAATTTAGGGGTGAAACATCCTAAAAATGTTTCTCATAAGGGGTGGTATCAGGAAACCACATGACAACTCCTATAACTGCTAAGTGATAGTGAATGCAAGGTCATCGATAGTGTCTTTTTCTATTGTTTTACTCTTTCTCTCTTCTGCTCATCATATTTTCCCATATAATCCTAAAATTTTTCAAGCCCCAATACAAAATAGTTCCAAGGGTTTCAAGAATCAAACTCTGACATTGAAAGTCACTTCTTAGTTCATTCCGTTAATCAACATATTGTTTATTCATTCAACAAACAATCATAATTACTAGGTAGAATACCCATAAGAATTGAGTCTTTCT